AATTAGGATTGATATAAGAATAAATGTTCAAACAATTAGAGCTTTCCAAAATTAGAATGGGCTGGCTCAAGAGATACTGGCTCCATTCAAGGTTTTCAAAACAGCCTAGATGCCCCCTCATTGGACTGTAGAAATCTTTGCTCGGCAATGGGGTAAACCAGACAACCTCTGGGGTGCTCTCTAAGTCCAACTCTATGAAAGCCTGAACTGGGAGTCACAGGTCCTGAACACAGGACTGTTCTCTGCTCAGTCACCCACTCATCACTCAGGCCGTGGACAGGTCATTTGCTTCCCTGTACCTCATTCACCTTAGAAACTAAGAACAATAATTATCCCCTAGCTCATTGGAATGTTGTGAAGATTAATTTGATGTAATATATAAAGAGCCTAGAGCTTCTTGCAGAAAAGCAAGATAACTAAAATACATTATCATTTGAGTTGCCTGAAATATTCCTTTAGGAGGGGAAATTAGTCATATCCCTAGAAGAACATAACATTGTTGCATTTTGTGATGGTGAAAACCAGTACGAGATTATTTTAATAAGAAGGTTAATAAATTTTAATCTCATTTAATGGTACTTTTAATCATTCTTCTGTCAAAACCTGCAGCTTTACTGTAGTAATCACTTAGATAAAAGACTACTTCTTTTTTTCCACTATGTCTACCATGAACCATTTTGTAAACATACATTTTGAGGGAAAGCTTAAATCATCTTGCTCTAGCTAAAACTTGGAAACAGTGTTAAGATAAATACTGTTTCTATTTTTAAATTGTTTATATTTTCTGGTAGTTCAGTTCAGTATTTGTAACTATTAAATTATCTCATGATTTCTAATTGCATACCTTTTCCCTACTGGGATGAGTTTGGTGAAAAGCATCTCAATTAGGGCTTTGGTTGAATGGAAAGGATAAAAGGCAGGAAGAAAGGGAGGAAGCATTTTTTTAAGCATCTACTATGTGTCAGACACTGTGCTAACCACTGTACTACTATTATCTCATTTCATCCTCACAACAACCTGGGAGGTGGGCACTGTTATGATCTCCATTTTACAGTAGAGGAAACTGAGGCATGTAAAGGTTAAGTGACTTGCCCAGGGTCCTATAACATAACCAGATTATAAACTCCTGGAAGCCAATGATCTTACAATTGAATGGATCCCCAATACCTTCCAGTATATATTAAGGATCAATACTTGTTCACGGACAGATTTCATCTGAGAGATGAAAAGAACATTAATAAGCAAAGGGACAAACACAAATCACTAGGGCACTTCACTGGAGACCTTCTGAGATGACACTGAACCATTAAAAACTATTCTTTGGGTGGGTATAACATCACCAGTCCTGAATCCATCTGACTAGAGTGTCTAGCCAACATCATTCCACCTTTTCCATATGAATAACAGATAAGAATAGTTTAGAGATCAGAAACTCAGTTCCAAAGTGCAATGAAAAGGCAAGAAGCCCTGTGAATCTGGAATTGGAATGAGAAGACCTGGTTTTGAATCTCAGCTCTGCTACCTGTGTGACCCTGGGCAAGTCACTACACTTTTCTGTCTTAATTTCTTCATGTCTTAAGTGAATAGATTGTGATCTCCTGTGATCTCCAACACTCAGGAGTATAGTGGAGCAAGCTCCCACCAGCTTATGAGAGCCTATTGCTAAATTTTCAGCGAGATCATTATTCCCTAGATATCAGGAAACATGGCAAAACAGGGCTCAATCTATTGTTCTTTTGATTTTCTAGGTGTAAGAGAGTAATTGAAAAATGTTAACAATGCAGATTAAACTTTTAAATGTCCTTCATAATGTTTTTGGAGAGCCAGTTGTTAAACACTTATCATCATACCCTTGCAAACATCCCTTCTAGCTACAAAACCTAAGATCCTCAAGTCCTATGTCCAAGGTCACAAAACTAGTTAATGTCAGTCATTGTTGGAGCAGAGGTCTGTTAAATCCCTGTCCATTCATCCTTCTGGACCTTCAGAAACTCTGCTTTTGACAACCCTGAATGGATACAGTCCACAGCTCATAAGGGAGAAGATACATTTGAGCCTTGGAATCCATCTCAGCTCCAAATCATGAGGATGGTATACTGCCTTTGTTTACTGCCATTCTCAGTGGCTTGACAGGGACAAACCACTGATAACATTTTAATTTCCAAAGCAAACTCATTGCTAAATCAGGCAAGGCAAAAACAAATGTGCTATATTAAAGGAGGCATGAGCCAGTCTTCCAACATCCCCAGGTCCAATCAACAAATGAATCAGATCCCCACCTCAAAAATTCCAGCAATCTTAGACCCTGCAATAAAAGCGAAGAAATTCAGCTGATTTCCACACTGGAGGAAGCCATGGTGTGGCTTCATAGGAAACATAGCATTTGAACCCAGAAGATTTACTCCTAATTGTGTGAGCTTAGGTTAGTTATTCACCACCTCTCAGTTAGTCAGTCAGTCAATCAGGCAGCCAACAAGAATTAAAGAAGCACTTACTATGTGGTAGACACTGTACTGGAATTAGAAAGGAAGACAGAGGACAGCTCCCAGACTAATGGGGGAGATGGCATGCAAACAAACCACTATGTACATACAAGCTATATATAACGTAAGAGGGAGGTAAGTTCAGGGGGAATGGGAGGAAAGGAAGGGAAGGAGACCAGGAAAAGCCTCTTGCAGTATGTGGATTTAAGTTGAGTCTTAAAGAGGGCCAGGGAAGTCAGGAGTTCCCTCAACAGGACAATAGGGATCAAAACACTTGCACTACCTACCTTACAGTATTGTTTTGAAGATCAAGAAACAGTAGGTGCAAAGGCTTTAATAAAGTGATGTATGTCAGCCACTATGAACAAAAACCTTACCTTGGTGGGAAGTAGTTCTGTTTTATTTCTTTGCCAGATCATCAAAGCTATTTCCCAAAAGCTGTAATGTCTCACAAGTACTTTCTAACAGGGTTCACAGTTTTATTATTTGAATCAGACAATTCCACTAAAAACACTATTTCAACGACTGTTAATTCAGTTGATTTTTAATAATCTTTGATATTTTTATCAAATTTAAGGAAAACTTGTATCCCAACTGATTGGCTTCCTAATGTGAACTATATATAAACATTTTATATAAATATACACTTTTTATGGTCATTATAAAGAAATCATTATATAAAATCAGTTATTAGTATTAACAGCAGTAAAATACACACTTGGAGTACTAGTAATTATTATTAATAATAATAAACTACCAGTTTCTGCCACCTCCCCCCACTGCCTAGCCCTTTTCTTCTGTAACAGCAAGTCCTGGGCAATATGCCAATGAACAAACTAGTCACCTAGTCAGTTTCCTAAACTACCAACCTTATATACAGGAAAAGAATGACGAGCAATAATATTCACTCTTTTAAACAAATCTCCTGATAAAGCCACCTTCTTTCTACCATCACATATAGCCTTCTCTACCCAAATTATTAGGCCGGTTTTAATTCTATTGTTTAATTAATTGCTTAATTAATCATGCACGTTAACATTTCATTACAAATTAATCATCCTTCTATTATTTCACATTTACTGAACACTTATAAAATGCCATAAATAGTATACAGCAGAGACGAATGTAGTCCCTACCCAGAAGTCTGACAATCTAAGTAAAACAGGTTAGAGTGGGCCAAACAGCAGCAGTGAGATCCTGAATCTTTTTTCTAAACAGCACCATACTGCCATGATTAAAAACTTAAGTTGCTGCATTTTTAAAGGCTCAAACCAACGCGAATTTGAAACACACTAACACTTCTCTCTTCCGGCACTAGTGCAGAGAGGGAAAAAAAATCAACCAGAATACTTCCCTAATTCCTAGCATGTAAACACATATCTCTATTACTCCACAAAATGAAAGTATTGCAAACTTTTCACCAATCTGTGCCAATGTTCACAACCACAATATTTTTTTTCAACTTTTACACTAGCATTTCATGATAAAATGCCCTCGGAGTAGAAAGGAAGGTGGGAGCTGGAAGGAGGGGGGGGGGAGATATGGCAGAATATGGGCAGAGACCATTATTTTCAGGAAGGAGTCTCTAATTTCCAAAGACCTTACTTAGGAAGTTCCCCCTCCTATTTCCCCACCCCTACCCCCATCTCCACTGGCAAGTAGGTGAATGTCTTCTCTCCTCTCTGGCCTGAGAACTAAAAATGCACAAACGTCCGGAGAGGCTGTAAAGACTCTCCCCTAAGAGCCCACAGAGAAAAAAAGAACTCGCTGCGGAGCTGAGTGCCACCATTTCTATGGGACTCCAACAACCCTAGAACGGTGGCAGGAAGGGTTAAGGAGGGAGGGGGACCCGAGGGCCGAGGCTCGTGGAGTTGAGCAGCAAGGGAGAGAAGAGGTCCCTCCTGCTGTGGGGTGAATCATCTCCTCTTACCCAAGTATCTGCCTCCAACTTACTGGGTGGGTGTAGAGGAGGGAGAAGGGAGGAAGGAAGGAGGAAAGAGGAGGATGGGGCGGGGATCACACAACCGGTTTCCTTTTTTAAAGTTTCTTGCAGTTTCATACTGACACGGCGCTTCTGGTGGGAATGAGCACTCCCCCCTGACGACTTTAAGGCCAAGGTCAAGTTCCCTGGAGGTGCGGGGGGGGGGGGAGAAGAAAAGAAAGGGGGAGGGGGAATTCCCGGTAAGGAAGACAGGACTGGGCGGCTAGGGGCTGGAGGAGGAGAGCAGCGGTGGCGGTGGCCAGGCTAGCCCGTGGGAGTCGGGCGGGCTGCACCTGGAAGCAGCGGGACCGGGAGAGGGCCCTCCTTGGGCAGCCCGGGAGGGAAGGAAGGGAAGGCACGAGACGGGACGACCAGAAGACTCGGGAGCCGGGCAGCGCTGCCCCTGGGAGCACGGGACTCCGCGCCTCGCGCGCGCCCTCCCGGGACTCAGGGGCCGGGCAGGAAGCAAGCACCGGGAACCCCGCCTCCTCTCCCTGCTCTCTCTTCGCCACTGCCCCGGGCCGCCCGCTACTTACCCAGGGAGCAGGTAAGAAGCGCAAGCACAACCGGGACACCAAGCAGGCAGCGAGCAAGCAGCCGCATCCCCGCGCCTGGAGCTGCGCTCTCCTCCAGCCTGCAGTGTCGGAGTCTGCGGGCAGGGGCACTTGGGACTGGAGCCCGAGCTGAGTGGCGGTGGCCGTGGCAGTGGCAGTAGCAGTGGCCGTGGCCGTGGCTGCTACAGCTACTGCTGCTGCTGCTGAGCCGTCTCCGCCCGCTCACCGCCTCCTCTCGGCCGAGTTTGGACGCGCCCTCTAGCGGCAGGCAGCGGGATAGCGTCCCCCCTGCATCCCCCCGACTCCTGGCTCAAGACTCGGGGCTGCAGCCGCGGGGCGCCCCAGGACGGGGCGGGAAGGCTGGGGACCCGAGGGCTCACTCCCGCTAGGTCCTTAATCCCTTCTTGCCCCGGCCCTCCTTTCCTCCGCCCTTCCAAAGTCTCCAGGAATCCCAGGCTTCTACTTTTGTCCTCACGTGCGCGCAGCGTTCTCTCTCTTCCTTCACTCTTTGCCCGGCCCCCCTCTCTCCAGTGCTAACCGAACAGCTCCACTTCTTACCCCGGATGTGGCCGGGGGGCGGGGGGCGGTGTGGAGAGAAGGGGAAGGGGGACGGAGAAGAAGGTGGGAGGAGAGAGGATCGCTTCTCTCTTCTGCTATGAATCAATAACTCAACTCTCAATTCTGCTGGCCGCAATGTTCTACTTTGATTAAGGTACTTTTAATCATCTCAACTAATTTACTTAATCCCTTTCTTATTGTCTAATAGCTAGGGGCCTGTAGTTCTGCTTTTTTAATAGAAGAATCTTAAACTATTTTTAAAAATTTTAAATCTTAAGCTATTTTAGCAGTATTTTTAGTACTCATAATTTTTAATAGGGACAAATTTGCCATTTTCAAAGCACGTTAGAAAGATTGGGTAAATACACATTTTTTATTTAAAAATTAGAGGCATAGATTAGTTAAGTGACTTATTGTAAGCTCATTCTAAAAGTCATTTAGCATAACAACAATAATAATAACTAGCATTTATATAGTGCTTAAGGTTTGTAAATCGTTTTACAAATATCATTTCATTTGATCCTCACAACAATCCTGAAAAATAAGTGCTATTATTATCCCTTTTTTACAGATAAGGAAGCTGAGGAAGACAGAGGTTAAGAGTCTGGTCCAGCATCACACAGGTAGTATCTGAGGAAGGATTTTACCCCTGGCTTTCGGGATTCCAAGTCCCACTCTCCATACACTACATTACCAAAACAAAGAAAGGAAACTGTAACCCCAAGATTCAACTTCGACCACATACTCTATGAACCATTTTGTGGAAGGGACCTGAAGAGTTACCACTCTCAGATATGATTGTACTATTACATTATTGTGCATAATAAACACGATAATACAAACAAAAAATGGAAAATAGCTATAGGTGAAAACTGTGGGAGCAGGGCTACTGTTCTTTCAGCCCCAAGATGCTACTCAGAACTTGATAAAGTCTCTCTCATCTCACTATGTATGCTCTAACAAACAACTCAGTTTTACTGGAGCAAGCAGGTGTTTTTCCACTGAACAGGGAGGAACTTTTTAGTGCTGCCCCTTCAAAGACCTGCTACATCTCTGGCCCCAGTGAAGACTGTAAGAACAAAACCTTTTTTCTGAGGAGGCTACAAACACCGTGAGGCCCTTTGGGACCTACACAATCAAGCACCTTCAAATCGGTTGGAGAGGGGAGAATGAGTGTTTGGGCTGGGAAGAGCAAGTCCTCCACTCAAAATAAGATTCTTTCTACTACTAGAGGGCACTAGTTGAACCTACAATAACTTAGGGTTATAGCCACAGGTTCTATAGTTATTGATTAAATAAATCCAAATTCAGGTTAAAAAAAATGCAAAAGAGGGCTGGTCTCTGCCAAGTCCCTGCCCCTACTACATTTGTAGTTTTGTTATAGCTTAATTATTTTCAAATGAAATTTCAACCCCTTTGCCTGGAATTCAAGATCCTAAACAACAATGCCACACTACTTTTCCAGCCTTATTTCATATTACTGACCTCTATATACTCTACACTTCAAACAAACTGGATAACTTTCTATCCTTCATACATGCATCATGCTTTCATGCTTCCGTGTCTTCATGGTGATTTATGTGCCTGAAATGGTAGCCTTGTCTCTCTTCATCTAAAGAGATGAAGACATCCTTGACATCCTTCCTATAAATTCCAGCTCAAATGCCATCTCTTCCAGAAGCCTTCCAAGAATCCTCCTGTGGGCTATGTTGTTAACCTTCCCCCTTAGACCTCACAGTCACACTCACATAGTGTAACTCAATCAAATCATGATAGCTACTTATAGTGGTGTCTTATTCCTTACTAGACTGGAAGTTCTTTGAGGACAGGTGACATCTCTTAAATTTTGTACCTCGAATAGTGCTCCACATACAACAGGCATTTAATAAATGTTTATTATTTGATGTTGATGGACATAAAGTATTTAAACAGAATTAGAAATAAAGATTATTGATTTAATTGAGAAATTTGGCTATCTGTTAGAGTTTTTCAGCTAACATTTCAAGTAATCAATTGCCTATTGGTATTAACTAATATTCATGGTAATAGAGTGATAGTATCTACTAGGATATAGAAAAATGGGATTTGAAGACAACTAAAAGAGAGAGCCATGTTGTTTAAATAATAAACTTATCTTTGTATTCCTTCTTTCTATTTCAGACATAGATAAATGGCAATGTTACAGAGTTCTATAACTTGGGAGAAAAGACTATTAGCTATCACTATTACTCTAAGTCATAAGATAAATGGATTTTCTGGGAGTTCTCCCTCCCGTGAACAAGTTTAGAGTGCTTACTGGAATGAAGAATGTTCATTAAGATACATATAGATTCCATGACAAAGAGCTCCATGAGTGCTCTGGTTTTAGCCCCTTTTTTTTGCTGCCTGCACAAAATTAGCCTCATTAATACCAAGAAACATCATACCCCATTTTGGGAATCAAAAGAATTCTTAATTATACCCCTTCACCAGCAGAAGGGTTAAGGGAAAGTGTCAGAAAACTTCTAAACAGAGCTCACTACTCTGAGTCAGGAAACCTGCCTGGTTCCTCACACTACAATAGGATAGTAGGATGAAATTCAATTCAACACCTATTAAGCATCTACTAATTAACAAGGCACTGCCTAGGCAATGACTATTCAAAGATGAAAAATAATAGTGCCTGACCAGGGTCACATAGCTAGTAAGTGTCTGGTCTGAGTCTGAATTTGAACTCAGGACCTCCTGACTCCAGGACCGGTGCTCTATCCAGCACACCACCTAGTTGTCCCAAGGAGTGGATTTTCTAATAAAGAAATCTTTTGAATTGCAAGCTTGTAGTAGCTAGTCTATACTTCCCCAAGTTTCTTTTAATTTTTTTTGCTTTCTAACACCCTTTCAATATGGTAACAGCCCTGCTATAAATCTACCACAAGATCAACTCCAAACTATAACTTTCAACCTGAAGAAACTGAAGTTTATCATTACAGCCTCTGAAGATGAATGAATTAGGACCTAGACAACCATCAGCTCAAAAATGGATGTCAGGCAAAATGTAGTGAAGACACTTTGTTAGGCATTGCAAATAATAAGACAAAAAGTAGAACGGTCCCTGCCGTCAAGCAGCTATAATGCAGAATATCCTTTTGTCACTTGGGACTGGCCAACAGGGACCTAGCCCTGTAAGCATGTACCATATGCTTTAGCTAGTATCAGTCTATGTGAAAATTTGATGATCCTGCATCTAGAGGTACGCCATGGAAAGGCTGCCTTTCAATTCAGAGCATGCACAGGTACACAGGTATTCCATAACTATTTACCATAGGGTTACTTTGAAGAGACAAAAGGCTTTGGAAATGACTGCATATAAAAAGGTTCTAGCAGGGAAAATTTCCCTCTTTTCCATGGAGGTAAGTTGGCAAGAACTATTGCAAGTCTCCAGGTGGAGAAAGAGGTAGCAGGTCCCGCTGCTGGGTACCACAGCTCTAGGGCCTCCATGAAGCAGGGCCACCTCAGTTTCTTTTGTCCCTGTTGTGTCTAATCTATCCTTATCTTAAGTGAATGAATATTAAAGACAGAAGAGACCAAATTACAACTTTGTGAGCTTCAAAAAGTAAACTGCATTTGGAGTCCATTGTAAGTCAGTAGCCACAGCAACCAAGGTGGGTGAGGAGTCAGCCCTGGAGAAGGGACCTACCTGTCCTTGCCCAGTAGTGAATTGATTCAGCAGCTGAGACAGAATGTTGTATAAGCAAAGTAGCGAATCTTTTATCAACTCTGCCACAACCCCCCTAACGTCGGGACTTAGGGTAGGGACATGGGGAGGAGAAAATATAGTGACTAATTTAAATGTGATCCTGCTCTCCCAGGGACCAAGTGGGCATGTAGAAAAGTAAGCCCAAAGCCCGTATTACATTGTGGGTTTCAGGAATGCTATACACAGCTCAAGTTTTGTTGCTTTGGGTATTATGGGTGTTTAGCAGTCTACACAAACTGCGCTGATGTTATTAGTGATATCCCTAATCAGCAGTTGTTATTTCTACAAAAACATCTTTTATGAAAACAGCTTCTATACCTGGATTCTTGGTTTAAAAGTTTAAAACTAATTGGCAATAAACTTGTTAATTTGCAAAGAATGTGTTCTAAAGGAATTTAATGTTTTCATGCTTTAACAAGGTTATATTTAACTCTCATTTTTCCCTCTTCTCCAGTCCTGCTTCTTCTATTACTATAGCTAACATTGATATAGCCCCTACTATGTGCCAAGCACTTTACAAATATTCATTTGATCCTCATAACAACCCTGGGAGGTAGGTGCTATTATTATTCTCATTTTACAGATGACAAAACTGAGGCAAGCAGAAATTAAGTAACTTTTCCAGGGTCACATAGCTATTAGGTGTCTGTGGCCAGATTTGAACTCAGGTCTTTCTGACTCCAAGCCCAGCACTCTATCCACTGTGCCACCTAGCTGCCACTGAACCACCTAGCTGTTTGTAGGTAACTACAACCTATCTGTCAACTCAGAATCTTCCATATTTCAATGTACTGATGATTGCATCAATGCATCAAATACATCAATATTCATTTCTATAATGCATATTGTCAACTCCTCTATATATTCTCACCTGGCTTTTGTACACAATTTTTCATCAACAAAATACTACAGTCTAACAGAAGTCAATGTCCATGAATTGGCAATAAATGAACAAATTATAGTACATAGAGGGATATAATGGAACACTAATACACTGAAATAACAAAACATAAGGAATTGAGAGAAAAAAATCAACACAGGAAAAGTCGTGAAGTCATGCATTATGAAGTAAAGTGGAGGACAATGTAAACAAAGACTACAAGCATATAAACAAAACACTAAAAAGACAGCTAAACTGTAATTGTAATTAATAATCTTGGTCTCTGAAAATAAATGATGAAATCCAGCTCCCTCATCTCAGGAGAGAAGTTTTTATTCATTTTTTAAAATTGTTTGGGAGGGAAAGGGTCCAAGTGTATAGTTTAGCATAGGCTGTAATTTGGTTTTGATTAAATATTTTTCTTTGTTAAAAGGCCCAAGATATGGGTATTGGGGGAAGGGAGATGGTAAAGAACACTATAGGGAAGTAACGTTTTAAAACAAAAGGCATCAATAAAACCTTCTTTCCCTTTCATGTGACAACTGGAATAACTTTTCACCTCCATCCTTAAAATGCTACTTCTAACCCATTCTTAAACATTGACCTCGACCTTAAATATCTATGTTAAATTGTAGACTAATTCTACGTGTGATCAGATGACCACTTATCAAGAATGTTGTAAATAGGATTTCTACATGGGATAATTGAGAAATCAAACTACATAACTGCTAATGCCCCTTCCAACACTAAAAATCTATTAGAAGATTCTATAATTCCATTGGGGGAGGTGTTCTTGTTTTTATCCAGTCATTTCCAACTCTTCATTACCTGTTTTAGGGATTTCTTGGCAAAGGTGCTGAAGTGGTTTGCTATTTCCTTCTCCAGTTCATTTTACATATGAAGAAACTGAGGCAAACAGAGTTCAGTGGCTTGCTTAGGGTCACACAGCTAGTAAGTGTCTGAGACCAGATTTGAACTCAGGTCCTCCTGACTCCAGGCCCAGCACTCTCTCCATTGTGCCACCTCAATGGCCCTTTTATTTGGTTCTAGGACTAGCCTTTCCAAAGCCTCCTCAATCTCCCTTTAAAACCTGCTCTCTCCCCTCCAAAGGGAAAAAAAAATAAAACCAAAACCTCCCCACCCCCTAGTAATGATGCTTAAGTTCTACAGATTCATTAGCCTGCATACAGGAAGGTGGGTGGTGCAGTGGAGGGTGTGCTGGATCTATAGTCAGGAAGATCTAAATTCAAATACATCCTCAGATGCTTTCTAGCTTTGTGACCCTGGACAAGTCACTTAATGTCTGTGTCTCAATCTCCCTATCTGTAAAATGGGGATAATAATACCTACCTCTTAGGGTTGTTGCGAGGATCAAATGAGTTATTTGCAAAGCATTTTGCAAACTCTGAAGTCCTCTATAAATGCTAGTTATATAGGTCTTATGACCTGTAAAAACGAAAAAGTTTGGAAGGGTAGCATGATAAACTAGTCATAAATATTAAAGTCTTAGCATGACTTAATTAGAGATCTTGGTGTGAAGATACCTCCCTGACCAGTTGGGTTTCCTAGAATGGGGACTGGTGGAGGTAGAAAGGGAGGAAAAACAGACTTTACGACTATAAGGAAAGACATTAGTCCCCATAAATACATCTGAAAATAAGACTGGCTTATAGACATACCTCATAGCTGTGGAATACTCAAGTAGGGATTGCCAAGAAGCCAGGACAGTATAAGAGCACTAGATACCTTGAAGGGATAAGGAAGCTGAAACGAGGAGGTCTTGATCATTTCCATTACAGTTTGCAGGAGCCAGGATAGTTCTAATATAACTAAAATGCCAAACCATACCAGATTTGCTATTTCAATCAGCCAATAAACATTTATTAAGCACATACTATGTGCCAGGCATTGTGCTAAACATTTGGGATACAAAAAGAGGCAAAAGACAGTCCCTGCCATCAAGGAGCTCACAATGTAATGGAAGAGACAACAAGCAAAGAAATATATACAAACAGGCTATATACAGGGTAAATAGGAAATAATTAATATAGTGCTTTCTTTATGACAGTCCTTGAGGTAGAATATGTATAAATTATTCCCACTTTACAGATGAGGACACTGAGGCTGAGGTGACAGACCCATGATCACATAGCTAGAATGTGTCAGAACCAGGATTTGTACCCAGGTCTTCTGATGCACAAAGCAGAGCTCTTTGCACTTATCCATCCTACTTCCTTCACGTACACATTCTAGTTTGTATTTGCACATATGTTTGTATTTTTTTAGAG